CCCCCTGTAACCGTCCCTACGACTTAAATTCCTATCTTTAGCCTACAAAAATTAAAAATCAAACTATAAATGCCAACTGCCAGGCTATAGTGTGGCACGGACAATTACATTTACACAGTAAACCTAGCTGTCCAAACATATACATATACAAAAACAAAATATCATGTATAAAAAAAACAAAATAAAATCCTATATCTGACCAAAATTCATGTCATAGCCTAACAAATTTATAAGCTAATATTTACCTGTTGCTGTGTTAACAGATTCATTCTCAGTAATAAGGTGGGGTAAACCTCTTTCAACTTTCAAAATCTCAATCTAAAAATAAATTATAAAAAATGAGAAATCGAATATAAAGCAGATCATGCCCACGGTAATAAGGGTTGTCAAATAAATGTTGAACTATCCATAGTTTTTTTTTTGGGGGGGGGGGGGCGAAGCTTCAGATATCTAAACATACCATACATAATTTTTATTTTGTTACCTCTGATTTAAGATTTACGATAAGTGAATTGAGCCTTCGAATTTCTTCAGCTTTCTCCTTCTTCTCCTTTGATACCCGACCATACATAGTGTGCCCAGTCTATAAAAATAGAAGACACTATTTAATTTCTAGTGACTAAACATTGCCTAAATTATTAAAACTTTCCTCTTTGGATTTCTCAATTGCACAAGAAAAACTTTTAAGTGAATTTAAATGTGATATAAATGTAAACTTTTAATCTACAAATATGTAAGAACATTTAAGCAACAACTAGGTAATAAATCAATCACATAGTTATAATATATTTAGTAGTTTTAACTAATTAACTGTATGTTTAGTAGAGTTACGTAGAGTAAGTTGAAAATTTTAAAAGACGAATTACTCAGTTCATGAAATGTCAGCCTACTTTTTAAAAACCGTCTAAATTTACTGTAAAATGTATTAACAATAAAGTAGCATCTTTTAGGATATAAAATATCGTTTTTTCCCCTCTTCCTTCACAAAATCGTGTTTTTTAAGTTTAAAGTGCTGATTTTAAATTTAGAAATATTTTCCCACTTTTCCTATAAAGTTGGTGTTGGAAATCCACAGGATAAACCCCTCTGATCTATCCTACCTGAAGCCTAGTATTATCCTACCTGGAGCCTAGTATTATCCAGTATCCTACCTGGAGCCTAGTATTATCCAGTATCCTACCTGGACCTAGTATTATCCAGTATCCTACCTGGAGCCTAGTATTATCCTACCTGGAGCCTAGTATTATCCAGTATCCTACCTGGAGCCTAGTATTATCCAGTATCCTACCTGGGGCCTAGTATCACCTACCTGATCTCATCATTATCCAGTATCCTACCTGGGGCCTAGTATTATCCTACCTGGGGCCTAGTATTATCCTACCTGGATCTTATTATTATCCAGTATCCTACCTGAACCTAGTATTATCAAGTATCCTACCTGGAGCCTAATATTATCCAGTATCCTACATGAAGCTTAGTATTATCCTACCTGGAGCCTAGTTCTTAGGTCCTTGTTCTCTGCCTCCTTGTTCTCCAGGTTCTCCTCAACCTCCAGCTTCTCCTTCAACAATTGCAACTTATCTTCCTAAATAGCATTGAAAAGATTATTTATTAACTAGCTAAAAAAGTGGGCGTTACCCGTAGAATATTAGACACACTTGAATTCTAATCAACATCCGAAATCTTCCAATTTTAATAATGAAAATCCGCCAAATATTATATTAAACCGGAGCTGAAAACTTTAGAATGAAATATCCAGATATCCCGTCGGATAATTAATCTGAAGATTAAAGTCATGAGGTAAACAAGCAATATTTAATTCCGAGATTAAGAAAAAGAGTGGATTAAGCCTTAATCCTGATATCCACCATTTTAAAGTTTTCAGCTCGGTTTAATGAAACACACTCCGTTGAAAAAATTGCAACTTAGATCCCGAAGCTTGAGTCTTAAATTAGTCTCAAATCAAATCAAATAAAATTAGTAGGGATGGCCCTAAATGTTTGAGTTTCAAGTCTTAATGACAGATAAGACCGTATATCTCCAAAAAAGCCATCAGGTAATTGCTCTCAAACTATATATTGATTAAGTCTAGGTCTTTTATGCCCTGCTTAAGGACTAAAGGATTTACAAAAATATCAAATGAGTTTGTCAATTTAAAAGAAAGTTACTGGAACGGATGTCACACAAACCTGACACCTTGCAATCAGATATATAAAATATATAAAAATATTGACTAAAAACACTGATGATCCCAAGCCTTATTAAATATCCACAAAAAAGGGGTTAGAAAGGTTGGCAGTGAAGAGGAAGTTTATTTAACTTGAGGTTGCTCAAGAGTAAAATGAGCTTAATAAATTCAGATTCCACAGGGACCAAGGGACTTTTCAGTAGAACGGCAGGCGGTTTCTCAACTATCCTGGACTATGTTGTTGCAAAGAATTAATGAAGAGAGACATAATTGCTGGTAGTGATCATGCTGCATTGATGTTGCAGTTAAAATGGACAGGATCCTGTAATAGTGTGAAAGATCTTGATGAGTGTGTAATCCGTATTCCCCGGGTTACTGACTACAAAGATTTCCAATTGAAACTGGATGAGCTTCTTGAAGCCTTTGACTGGGGAAACCTTGACCTTGAGCAACAGCGCCAAGACTTGCAGGAAACCTTAGTGGATGTAGGGAAAGCGACATATGGTTATGCACCTCGAGAAAGTGACCATAAAACAAGGAAAAAGATCACTAGGAGTTCGAGAGAATCGAAACACTACGATAGTGTGGAAACAGCACAGCTGTCAATCATCAGACTCCTGAATATAACAAATATCAGTAGTCTGTGTGTATTGTCGCTAGGAAGGATCAACAGGAATGGATCCACAAAGAGGCGGATGAAACAGCTCATGAGGCGAAGGTCTGCAGTACAATATATATAAATCTTGTGTTGTGGAATTAATAGGGAAACTAAAAGACACAAGAGCTTCAGGTATTGATAACTTACCAACCCTACTATTCAAGAATGCATCGGACCAATATTATGTCAAGCTGACAAAGATCAACCAGTGTTTGGAAACAGGACAAACTCCACAGGTTCGGAATGTTGGTAAAATGACACTTATTGGTAAGAAGGAGGCTTCCATGCAAATTTGTAAAAAAAAAAAGCCCTCTTACTGTATCTAGTGCGACACAGAGTATTATCACCAATCGGTCCAGTCATTTAACCAGTTATACGCAACATATATATACAAACGTCTCTTTTTATTATAAAGATAGATATATTCTAATCCTTATATGTCATGCTTGTCATGCTTACAGACCTATACAAACACTTCAAGGAAGAAATAAGTAAGTTTACCTCCAGTTTCTGATTGAGAACAGTTAGTTTCTGAACATTATGATCAGCATCCTTAAGAGCAGCTTCATGGATCTCCAGACTTTCATCTCTAGATAGGAGCTTCTGCTCCTCCAGCTCCTACATCAAGGAATTTAGGTTCACTTTAATTTTAGATTTTATTTTCCAAGATTTTTATATTCATATACATCATTTTCAACTAAATATATACTCCAATTCGAGTTTTAAAAAAAGTGTACAAAGAAGATCTGATGGCGAAACTTGTGTTGAAAATCCGACCAAGTCTAAGGTATTCAGGCTTAGCCGGTATTACAAGGGAAAAACTTACACATGACACCGGCTAATTGTAATTCTAGGATTAGTAGAAAATATTATATATTGTTTTATTATTAAAAATCATTTTTTAGTCAAAATATCATTTTCTGCATAAAATGATAGTGTTCAATAAATAGCTTTTTGATTAAAAACAGATTTTTTTGGTCCACCAACCTTGATCCTGGAGGTAGCTGCCTCTAGTCTTGAACCTAGACTGGTGAGTACTCCAACCAGTGCAGTGTCAACCTCAACCTCACCCCTCACACCAGATTTTGTCTGAGGTTGGTTTTCATCTCCAACACTTCTCTGGAGCTGACTCTCCTCCTTGATTGAATTCAGTTCTTGAATTCTTCTCTCAAGCTGAATTATCTCCAGGCCCGCGGTTTCCTTTATGTAAATAAATCAATATTTATTATTTTTTTCTTATTTTTTTTTGGGGGGGGGGTTCTTTTTCGTTTTTAAAAGATGAGATTTATCACCTTACTACTCTGGGCTGCTTCAAGCATAAGATTTGCTTCCTTCAACTCATTTTCAAGAATCTCCTTGCCAGATTTCAGGGAAATAATTTCCTTTATCAGTTCGTCCCTCGCATCAAGCAGGGACTCCCTAAAACAAGTTCAAGGGTTAAATATTTTTCTTGAAAAATCATATCCCTGTCCCTCCCTCCTCATTTTATCAGAAAAAAAGGATTTAAGGGTTTTCTTGCAAAATTCGGAAAAATTATTTTCAGGGTAAAATATAAATAATTTAATTATTCTCATTATTCTCCATAAAACTGTCGTCGTAATTTTAAATGATTCTTCGATGCTATTTAGTTTGAACTACTGCCGTTTGAACTATTGACTTTTTGAACTATTGGTCGTGGTAACACGTAACGTGTAGTAGTTCAAACGACTAATAGTTCAAACGATAACATTCTGTGAGCTTTTGAACTAATTTGTTCATTGAAACTTTTAAAAAAAATAGTTCAAAATGAGCCAAAAAATTGCTCGAATGAGCAAAAAAAATAGTTCAAATGAGCAAAAAAAAATAGTTCAAATGAGCAAACAAAATAGTTCAAATGAGCTTAACTTTTTTTGCTCATTAGAACTATTAAATGCTTCATTTGAACTATTTTATTTGAATATTTTTTTGATCATTTGATTTATTTTCATGTCCATGGTGAAATATTTTTAGATCATTTAAACTATTTTGTGATGATTGCTTGACCTATGTTTTTTCATGAACTATAGAACTTTCAACTGCACATTTAATAGTTAAAATGAGTAAATAATGTGTTGTTTGAACTACAGGAAATGACGTCATTATCAGTAGTTACAATGAACAATAGTTCAAACGATCAATAGTTTAAATGATCAATAGTTCAAACGGCAGTAGTTCAAATGCGGATTACAACCTTTAATAGTTATTTATGTGAGAAATATTTATCGTTTTTCAAGTGTTTAGTTCCTACAATTGTTTCTGTTGCAGAAATCCGCAAGTTACTTTTCTAATCAATGGTAAATTTATTAAGTTAAAAACATGTAAGGGCTGTAGCAGAAATTCGCAAGTTACTTTTATAATCAATGGTAAATGTTTAAGTTTAAAACCACTTTAGGATGTACCCTTCTTAACTTACCTTTTATTAATCTCCTGCATCAGTTTATTCAGCAGCTCAGATTTCTCCGACCTTTGAATCTCCAGCTCCATCTGGATCTTGATCAACTCCTCCTCCTTCTCCTTGTTCAGCTTCCTCTTCTCCTCGTCCCCTTGCTTTCGCGTCATCTGAAGCTCGGCCTCCAGCCTCAACCGTTCTCTCTCACTTCTCTCAAGATCCTCGGAGGTTTTCTGCAGCTTGTCTCTGGAGGACAAGGCGGCCTCCTCCATCTTGTAAATTGTAATTGATTACTATTGGATTGTAGTCTGTATATTTCCTTATCATGAAAATATTGAAAAACAAATGACTTGTGTTGGAAACTCATAATCCCGATCCCTTGATCTCGATATCCATTGTGGAAATTTTTAATTTCAGGATCTCTTTATTTCAGTTATTCCTCCAGTGTACAACTACTATGCGGGATATTGAATAAAGATTAAATTAATCTGCAGATTAACACAAGATTGAGTTAAAGCATTGACCTCGATATCTACAATGTTCAAGAGTTCCAGCTCAGGTCGAAAAAAAGTGTTTTTACTGAGTAACTTTTGGTTGGAACAAGTTTACTTGCTAAGTACATAGTTTATACAAATAATACAAAAAGATCCTTGATATCTGCTTAAACTAATAATTATCTAAATAAGCTGTTTACCTGGTTTAGACGGATGTTTGTAGTGTTAATCAATTCTTCGCTTCTCTGAAGACTGTTCTCAATAAGTTTCTGTTCTTTTATTTTCTCAATTTCCTCCAGGGCAGTGAGTTTAGTCAGCATGGACCTTAAACAAATATTGGTCAAATAAAAATTAAGGCGAATTATTTAAATCTCCTCTTTATTGAAAACATAATCAATGCTTTACAACTGTGCTCTTAAGCAGGTTGTAAACCCTTGACCTCACACTTAGTCATAGTCGAGTTATTTACTTGGCAATGATTTTTTTAATAAATATATTTTAGGAGGAACCTCTAATCTCCTAGCAGGGATGATATTATGGTGGATTGGTTGATTGTCATAATCATTGTTTTATTATTGGTTACAGTTAAATTTTTTAAGCACAATTTTTTAATGTCAATCAAAGTTAGAAATAAATACCTATATTCATCCTCCAGAACAACAATACTGGACTCCTTGTCCTCCAGGGAGGCCAGTATACTCCTCTTCTCCTCTTGGAGGCTGAAAACTTGAACCTCCAGCTCTTGCTTGACAACTTCCAACTCTTCCAGCTTGGCCTTCAATGAGTCGGCCTCCTCAGAATGTCTGAAATAATACAAAATAAAGATCTAACAATAAGATAAACATATATTTTTTGGAAAGATTTGAAAAAATAGAAAGAATTTGTAGAGTATTAAGTAAAAGCATTTATCACTACTAGTTCCAACTATAAAAAATGTCGGAGGCCTTTCTAAAATTGCCTGATGTGTAATGAGTATAATAAGAATATATTCATGCATTTAATATTGATAATATCAGGAGGTCGAAACCTACAATGCTCTAAATGTCTTTTATGGTCCAATGAATAGTTAATACCTTTAGGTTCGGACCAGAAACCGCAAAAAAAGTTTCGACGATGAACTAGTTGAGACATTGTACAATGTACTTATCTCAGCTCATGGGTTAACTTTATAAAATCCACTTTTCCCTTAGTAAGAAATAGTTTATGCACATTGCACATGTCACAATAAAGTGACTTGTTGGTATGCAAATCAGATTAAAATTCTGATTAAAATTCGACGAAAAGTTATGAATTAATTCTACTCTTACTTGACTGCTTGATCCTGTAGCGAGATTTTGAGCTGTTCAAATTCAGAAGTTTTCTCTACAAACAGTTTCTCAGCGCTTTCCAACCTAAAAATTAAAATTGTTAAAGTCGACTTTGTTATATAGAGAAAAATAAAGTTTTAGGTTTGAGTCAACAATAATAGCCAAGACAGCAAAGCAAGCCAGAATTAGCTAAATGTTTTATTACCTAGCACCCAAGGTTGAAAACACAAACACAAGGCTTTGATCGTCCGAAGATGGATTTACAAGAACTTCTTTGCTTGTCTCGATTTTCTTTGGATCTTCCTTTTGGTTTCCTACAGTTCCTCCAGTCTCAGATGCTTCGCCGCTTCCCTCCTCGTCGTTGGCCATCACAAATTCGTCTTCGATGTCGTCGCTCTCTACAGTGCTGCTGTTGGGGTCTGTAGAGAGGAGACCATTATCTACCAGAAGGTTTACGAATTCAGGTTCTAGCTCATATTTCTAAATATTTAAAAAAAGTTTACTTAACTTTCTTCGTAAAAATGATTAAAATAAAGCAGAGCAAATGTTAAATTCAAATTCACCATTTAAACAAAATTTTATATTTTACCAGAAAAAAAATTCAATATATATATATATATATATTTTTTATTGGACATTAACTGGCAGGTTTTTACCCTTTCTGTAGACTTATTAACCAAAAATACCCGATTTACAACGGTACCCTCAAAATCTTAATCTGATAAAAAAGGTTTTTTTTGAGTCGGAAAGTGTTTTTTTTTCTGTGAGTTTCTGCATTGCTTCCTATAAACAAGAAATCAGCAAGCTACTCAGAAACCACAAATTCAAATAAACAGTTTAATGAACAAAAACATTAATAAAATATTTTATTATTTGATTAGAAAAAGCTTTCAATGATACCGCTGTAAAACGGGCATTGCCATTTTGCAAGGAATGTCACTTTATCCAGGGGTGTATATTAGTTGTGAGTCACATATTTTTGCCCCACCCCTTTCAGAATCATACTTTTCCCCAAACAGGTCAATTTTATAGGTTTCTAAAGCCCACGGAAACTGGGGGGTGCAGAAGGTGGCTTGCAGAGAAAATTTTTAGATTTTAGAAATATAAAGGAGCGTTTTGGTGCCCTAAAAAGTTCAACTCTAAGATCCCAACTGATAATGTTTTTGTTAAATTTTGGTTTCCCTTCCCTCTTCCCCTTTTCCCTTTTCTCTTCTCCCTTTTCCCTTCCCTCTTGCCCCTTTTCCCCTTCCCTCCTTCCCCCTTTCCCCTTCCGCCTTTCTTCATTTTTCCCCAAAAGCGAATAAAAGCTCATATTTTTGTCAACCCCCCCTCACCTCCCGGGGGGGGGGGGGGGGACAAACAGAAAAATATGCACCCCTGCCTTTATCATTTGTTTTCCCTGGATTAGCAATAAAACCTAGACATGCTGGGAGAGGAAATTATTTTTCAACTAAATATATAAATATATACCCCAGTCTAACCTGCTTGGATTCCTGAAGAATTTGTCCGAATGATATTCCAGAGGGAATTTTCATATTTTTCAGCAGCTTGCATAAATCCGCAAAATTTGAGAAAATCTAAATTAAAATTGAATCATGAAAAAAATTAAATGGAAAGAATCTTCAAGAAAATCTATTTTGCATCACAAGAACAAACCCGTCATATGAGGTAATGTTTTGTAATCAGGACACACCATGATAAATTACATTTATCTTTTTTATTATTAATTAAATACGTCACGTAATGTAAGTTACTGTCCCCATCAAGAATACTTATATATTTTCAGAAAGAGATGAGGTATGATTGAACAGACTTATTTAAGAATTCTTACTTCAGGTTTGATGAATTTAATAACGGTTTCAACCAACTCTGCCAATTCATCTTCAGTTCTTATCTCGAGCTCCTTAAACAAGAAAATAAATTTTTACAAACAAATATGATTATGAAGCAGAGAAAAAACATTACTAAAATAAGTATGAACCTTAATTTGCTCAGCGACGGCAAGGTTGGATAGGGTAGATTTGGCGCCAGTCAACTGGGACAGAATCTTCTTAATCCTATCCTTCTTGGTTTCCTTGTGCTCAACATCATTCAAGGCATCCCCCTTCTCAACGTCCGACTTCTCTTTAACTTCCTCCGAATTCTTTTCAACAATCTTCTCCTCTTCAGCAACCTTCGCCTTCTCTTCAACAACATCCGCCTTCTCTTTCACTATTTCCGCCTTTTCAGCTAATACTTCTGCTTCCCTCTCGACTAAGGCTACATCGAACTGTTCTACTCTATCAAATCCTCTACCTTGTACTTCCGCCGTGATGTTCTCAGTTCCTACAATGAAAATATAAATACAGTTTTATTGTTAAGTGAAAAAAATATGTTTTATAAAATTTTTTTTACCTGGTATTACTTCTAGCTGCCAGGGTATACTAGCTCCAGTTATTCTACCATCCTTCTGCAGAAAAATAAAATTATGTACAGAGAGATCCATACAACTGCAGAATGAGAAGACGACAAATCAACAATATTATGTATAATTCATGTTGTTTAATTATGTTTAACAGAGGTTTTAGAATCAGCTTAAAAGTTTACAGCACATTGCACAATTGCTGTGTTTATGTTCATAAAACTATTCAATATCAGAACTTCAACAAACAACAGTCGTTTTTCTATTCCAAAATTCCTATTCTCTGAATATTAAATCAAATTTTTGCATAAATACTTATGAAAAAAAACCTTTTTTTGTTTTGAAAAAAAATGCTGAACTGGGAATCCCACTAAACAATATACAATATTCATCCCCTACTCACCGTAATATACTGGAACTGATAGAAATCTGTCTCCGATGGCAGATATTTGGCGTCAAATTTAGCCTCGCCCCCTTCTCCCCAGGCGAACACAAGGAATTCCTACAAAAAAAAGTTTTGTTTCTACGAATGAAAAGATTCTGCGACAAAAAAATTGTCATAATTTTTTTTCCCATATAAATGTGGGCTGTATTAATTATTCTTTGACTCACCGTGGGATCCAAGTATGGAGTTTTGAATATTCCAACTTTTCCCTTCTCCTCATCTTCTCCACTTAGTACATCAAACCTATTAAATCAAATAATAATTAAAAGGTTGCACCGTGTGCAACATGAATACAGATTTAAAGAATTAAGAGGATTATAAGAGATAAGATCTGAAATGAAACAGTATTTCTAGATTCGTAGTTAGTTTGTTTTTCTAAAATGTTCTTTGAAGAAACGAGTTGATATAATATAGACCTAGCCCAGCTTTGTCCGGAAACTAACTTTTTCAATTAAATTCAACATGCTCAACTTAGAATGTTTGAACCGAGCTAAGAACTGTAGGTTCCCAGTCAACATTCGAGGCAAATCGGTCAAACTGTTCCTGAGTTATGATCCGACATACAAGCAAACAGGCAAAGAAAGAAAAGATTACTACTTTATATCGAACAGTTTATGAATTATGTAAATCACCTGACTACAATATCCTCATTGTTGGGATATACGTCGAGCACGTCATTGAAAACCACCTTAAACATCGTCATATTTATATATAAATTATTTTAATTAAAAACTACTAAAATAAAATTCAGCCTCTTTGAATCGTTAAAAATATCTAGCGCTTTGCGTCTATATTTCTGGTGAAAATGGGGGTTTTGTTGTTGATCCTTCTGCAAGCTTATCGTACATTTGAAAGTACCACTCATAATTTTACATTTGAAACTACCACTCATAATTTTGCAATTATATTTTCCTGTTCATTGGCGGATTTCCAGAATTTTAAATTTAAAACGAACAGTATTTTAATTTTAGATTTTACATTTTTTGATTAATAAAAAATACAATTTCTAACATTCTATGCATTAATACTGTAAACACACCTGTGAATATTGTGAGGTAGTGAGATCACTTTCAACGTCAGAGGTAACCGACTAGAAATATATTTTTTAATTTATTTATTTAAAACAAATTAACAAGGAGTAGATTAATTCCCCCCCCCTTTATCAAATCACCAATATTCTGAAGAAAAGGGGGGCCACAAAACGTATTACTCTCCGGAAAATTTAAACAGTGGTTAAACATAACTTAGCATTGTCGTTTATTTATTTATTAATTTAGAATTCCTTGTCCCAACTTTGCTATAGCTTGATGTGTCTCATGCAACTGTTATTCTAACTTAGGCCAAACTTAGCACATACGTATTCAAAGATATTTTCTTTTATTGCGCGCGCGCGCGGACATTTAAGCCTTTGGAGGTGAATTTTTTAGCGCATATTTGTTTTAAGAGTGCCAGGAAAAATGTTCAAGTGCAATTAATGAAGTTAACATTGATTTACTGTAAAAAAAGTCGCATTTTTTCACAAAAAGCGCGCGCGCGCACTTTTGCTCAGATTCCTTCAAAACCAAAAAATGCATGTAATATACATAATTCTGAGTTCACATGCAAAATATCAGCCTCCTACGACAATTCTAAGTTATGTTTAACCACTGTTTAAATTTTCCGGAGAGTAATACGTTTGTGGCCCCCCCCCCCCCTTTGTCCCGAAATTAACTATTTATATAACTGTTATTTTGGTTCGCAGTGTTATAAAGTTTTTGGACAGAAATTTTCTCTTAATCGAGAAGGTTCAAGTCTATTTAGATTTAATTTTGTCCTGAGCTTTAGCGGTGAACAAAATATAATTTAAACAGGCGAGAACCTTCGAGATATAGAGAAAATTTAAGTCCAAAAACTTTATAGCACGTCGTGCCAAAATAATAGTGTTACAACGTATTTTTTGAAACGTTTGTGTACTTGTCTTTTTCAATGGCTATTTCAATAGATGAAATAATCTTTGAAACAAAGCAAAAGTAAAAAAAATAAAGTTGAATATTCAATTTTATTTTCATTTCAACTAAACAAATCATATTAGAAATATACTAAATTTTGGGGAGGAAATCCGGGAACCAATCAAAACTTAATAGCACACGTGCTATAATGTGCAGCTAATTTAACTTTATAGCACGATGATTACTTTATAGCACGTTTATTATGAAATTTACGATGAAGTGAGTAAGAATGATTAAGTACATACCAGTTTCATAAATATTTTTCTTTAAAAACCATTATCCCCCCGCTTAATTTTATGTAGAACCCCTCTCCAAGTTCCGTCCAAGCTTTTTTCCCCAACGTTTACTTACAAAACTAATGGGGGATCATATTTTTTATTTTTTAGGGAAGGGGAATGTTTATTGTTTACCTTACTCTCAGCTTCCTTTCTCTCCTCTACATCAGCTGAAGCGTCAAAAAGTTGATCCTCAAGTTCCTAAAGATATTTACAAGTTTTACAATATTTTTTTTTAAACAACAAATGATAAATACCTTCGGATCTATAATTTCAAGGCTTGAAGAGCTCCCAATGCTTCCCTAGAAATAATAAGAGATTATTATTAACTTTCAATTCAACGCCTTCAAGTTTAACCAAAATTATCGATTAATGATTTCATAAAATAAACTGATGAGTTATTGAATTAATAATCCTGATGTCTTGGCAACCTGATGTCGAATGCCTTAGATAAAGTGATAAGATTGAAGCGCGTAATCAGTGCATTGACACCATTATTAGCGGGATGTTAAGTAAATTAAGAGTGATGATCCCGTTCTGAGAATTTTATTAACATTTTTTTTGACAGTTAAATTGAAAAAGTTGATTTTCGGGAGAAAAAAAAAACAAAATCTATAGCTTTCCTCGGCTAATTTGGGCATAACTTCTAAAATCTTTGTTGCTTCAACCGGGTTAGCACGGAGCATAAAAATCTAAATATTTTTTTTTACATCATCAAAGTAAGAATGTAATAATGTACGTATCCTGCTATTCTATGACTAACCGTACAGATAAGATCTACACTAAATAATGTAGAGCATTAGCAAAATAACACAAAATTTTGAATACGGAAGAAAAAGCGAAAACCCGAATTTCTTATACACCCCAACTCACACGAATCTTGTATATTCCTACTTCGTTCTCTTCCATTGTTAGTTCACAACTATAACTGCTTTCTTTCCTTATCTTCTTGTTATTTATCTGAACTGATTCACGTCTATAATATTAATGCCCTGACTTTTAGCTCATCAACAAAGATAATACAAAATCAATATTTTGCTTTAACATACAGCTTTAAAGCATTCATAATTATTGTATTCAATTGCAGGTTTGAGAGTGCGTTCATAAAAAACATTTTCTCCGTTTCAACAAATTTTAATCTTCGTACATGAAACAGACTTTTTCCTTTTAAAAAACCAGCCTTTTTGTCTTTTGTATTCAGGGTTACCCGCAAAGGATGACTGAAAAGACGACTTAAAACTTTGAAGAAATCCCAAGTTAGGTCTTCTGACTCGAATAAAGTCTTGAAATGGCTGATTAAATTATTTGACAAACAAAGACACGATTTTCCAGTTGTGGAAATCAAAACAAAACATTAAATAAATTTTTCTTAATTCAATTAAAAAACCACAAAATTAAAAATCATTGTACCTACAAATTTGATTTTCTTTAAAATGCTTAGTATAAACAAAAATATTTTTTTACATGGTGGCCCCCCCTCCTGCCTCCCCACCCCCCAGACTCCCCTCGGAAGTATGGTCTGGCTCTTGATGTCATTAATGTATAGAATTATCTAAATTAAAAAAAAAATCCGGCTTTAAAATCGCATGCCAACAAAAAAACGCATACTTTTCATTTACAATTGGCGTTTATTTAGTCAAAAAATGTTTGATAGTTATTTTTTGGTTGGTTATATTTTTGGCATCGTTAAAAGTGTTTAGAAGATATTGGTCTTTAACAGAACATGGTTATATGAGAAAGCGTCTTAAAATTTTCCAAAAATATTTATAAAATTAGCTTAAACAAGTTTCATAAAATTAATAAATGCTTTTCTTTCTGAACTATTCAGTTTTCGTGCATTATTTTCTGGTCTCTACCCTGGGTTTACCTTTTACGGTAAGGAAGAAAACACAGGGGGGGCCCTGTGTTCATATTTCTTTACACCGGTATCAACCCCGTTAAAACTGTATGTTGTTGTTGTTTGACCAAATGAAATTCATGAATTTTAATTTTAAATCCCATCCCCTGGGTAAACACCAGTGTAAATGACAGTTTACACTGGTGGAAACCCACTATTAGAATTCTGTGTGGGTAAACCTTTACTAACCTCCTTCATTTTGTGATGTAGTGTCGATATTTAGTTCCTGATTCTTCAAGATTAGAACTGTCTGAAAGCAAGTGTTTAAATGAATGGTTAGTTAGACCCGTTTACGGAAAATTTCAGTTTCAGTGGATTGGAGAACGGTCAATCTAAAGAGTTGGGGGGGGCAGGCAGGGAGGAAGGGAGGGGGGGTTGCCCAAGAATGGTTGGGATCCAAAGAAGGGTCAGGGGAGAGGGGGGAGTCAAGATATGCTTAGGAGGATTAGGAAAATGCCATGTAGGTTCAGAAAGGGGGGGTAAAGGGAGTCGTTTTCAGTTAGGTGTAGTCGGAAATTTAAACATGGTAAAATTCTAAGATAAAGATATCAAAATGATAACAATACACTGCTATGTAACGAAAAAAAACATTTAATAATATATAATAAATAAAATCTTTCAATGAAAGTGTGCTAACGGGTTTCAAAAGAATATCAAGTGAATTAAGAAATTTCCNTCCCTCTCCAATCAATTTTGTACATGGATCTTAAATGTAAGACATGTGGCCGCAGCGCTCGGCACAGAAAGTGTCTTAACCTAACCTAACCCTAAATAAATACTAATTTAATTGAAAATTATTGAAAAAGTGGGCATGTAAAAAACTGATAGAGGGGGGGGGGTGTCCAAAAATCGTTCTCTAGGACGGACCCACCACCTGTGAATTCTTTAATCTCTATGTAAAAAGTTTGAAAAATGTGTTTTTAGAAATATCCCAAGGAAAGATGATTATATGTGAAAAAGGGAACAAAATTAATTGCACTCTTTAAACAAAAAAGTGTAAATTGTTAAAATTTCTGCGACGACATATACTATTTTGATCCGATGTTACTGTACAACGAACTGGTTTTTTAGCAAAGCCCAAAAGCATTGTGTATCCCCCTTTCTTCATTCCCATTTAAAACAACAATTACTGAAAGCGCACGGCACGTCGATGAATGATAATGTTTTTTGTAAGTTTATGAGTATGCTCCGTTCTTAAAGCCCTTTAAGACCCCCATTCTAGAAACTTTGGAAATGAGTTACGTTGATTTGAAGGACTTAAAACACAATAAAAACTATTTAAGCATATAATGATGTTCTATATTTTTCGTATACTACTATAGGGTTGAAAGATAATATATTGGCCAAGCGCTGCGGTTAAACCTAGAAAGGGGACCAAGCACAAAGGAGAGGACCGACGGGTCCGTCCTTGTATACGATTTATGGACCTGTCCCCCTCATATCAATTTAGGGTAATTTCCTAGAGAGCGATTTTTGGACCCCCCCCCCCTTCCCCCCCAAATGTACAAAATTGATGGGAGGGGGAGGGTCCAAAAATCGTTCTCTAGGAAATTACCAGAATTAATTCATAATCATATCCTAACATCAAAGATAAAGGTTTCGGTATATTCCTTCGATCACAGATTGATCAGATTAACAGACATCTCAGCTAAACTTTTTTCTGTGTCAAAATTCAAAATCATTACGAAATAATTTTTACAAGAAATATGTACGTAATTGCTCAAAATTGATATTTATTTCGTAATACTTTCTGCTTAGGTTAAGTGAAACTGCGTCACAGAAAATTTCTGAGCTTTAACAAATATAATGGAACGAGGCAAGAATTGTAAATAAACAGCGCACAAAGTCAGTTCGGAACTCCAACTGATTTTAAACATTTTACAATTTAAGATAAGGTTTTATTTGCATTAATCGAAATAAAAATTTTAAAGTGTATACTTCAGTGGCGTAAATAAGGGGGGTTATTGGGGTTACTTACCCTGACCCCCCCTGGAGTCTCGGGGGTGTATAATTACCCTCCTTTAGAATCAATTGGGACATAAACATATGTACACCCCCGTTTAGAGAGAGAGGGAAGGCTACCTCCCCCGCACAGCTTCCGAACCTCATTTTACCTATTTTTAAGGCAGTGCACGTCCCGAGAGGGCTTTCGAACCTCCCCTAAACAGTCTTCCGGAAAGGATCTTCCATTTATGATCATTAATTTCTTCTTAAAACGGGACTAATTTGATTATTTGAACATGATAGTCGATCTATAATATCCTTAACATTTGCAAAATATTTTTGTTTTTTTACAATTGATTTTTAAAATTCCATGGGTAACGCCTGGCACTTCAGCTCCTCCAGCTTGTTTGTAATGAAAAGAAAGATAAGAAAACGACTGTGCAATGAATAAAGTAAATTAAATCTAAATTTTAAAAAAGTGGTCTTTTCTCAAGCCTTTGTGGCTTGGTATTTAAAAATAACTGTTTTACTTCGCCCCGATTAGGATGAATGATGCATTCTAAATAGATTTTTCATTCGGACTTCTGTCATACGCGCGTACACAATTTTCTTAATGCACTGAATGTTAACTGCAGCAAACTATTTTTTTATGGTCAATTATCTCTTAACAGTTTAAGATTTGAAAAGTGTGAAAGCTCTGAGTTCTGGGGGGGGGGGGGCAGGTATACGCCCTTGATAAATACGAATTGCATATACGTATTTTTTGGTTTCCCGGTTATTAGGGTTATACAAAAAAGTCATGATGTGCCAATGAAAACTAACTAGTAACTACTTTTCATTGGAAAACAGATCGGGGGCGCTCAGGGTGGGGCAATAGGAATATTGCCCCCCCCCCCTCAATCTGTATACTCTATCGTGATCAAATTTTAACAATCGAGAAAAAGTACTAAAACATTTTCTTTGGCTTTTCGCGAATCATTTCTAATAGAAGTTCTAACTATTTCCTATTTTTTCAACATTTAAGTAATTTAGTTAAACTTTATTTATCCCTCACAAAACAACCTATCTTATATATACAATCCATATGGGCCGGGGCGTATACAGGATTCTGTCTGGGGGAGTAATTAATATTTTTATCTTTCTACTTTCTGCCCCCGACTCAGCAGTCAGTCCCCATAGGGGCCCTAGAAACCATAAATTTCGCTGATCCAGGGGGTACCCCCTACCCCCCCTAAGAACGCCTGTGTCCTTGACCTCAGATCTTCCCAGTCTCATGATCTCTTCTATCCCTTTTTTTAGCGTATAAATTAAATGCTGAATACATCATTATTTGAACATATTAACATGCATGATGCATAATTTATAAATGACAAAAATGAAGTTTCTCTTAAGGACTCTTTTTTGGACTTCTATACAGCTTTATTTATGATTTGGATTCAATACTTTTCGCCCGGTTGATGATAAAGAATCCTGACTACAAAGTACGGAAAAAAATTCCCCGGAGGCCCGGAAAAGCTTAATAGACTGGTTTATATAAGAAAAAAATGGACTTTGAAAAACACATTGCTTAAAGCTGGTACAATTGCTGCCAGAATATAATCTTCAAAATCTTTCCTCAAAGTAAAATAAAGCTTTATCATTACTCTAAAACTAAAAAACTAAGATATTACGCAAAAATAAAGTTAAAAGAACAACATATTGTTTTGATTCTAGAGCAGAAACCATCCATTCGACCAAAGTATCACAGATGACTATACTGGCATGCAGAGTGAATGCCAGTGTCTACAGAAAGACCAAAAGGACTGTTTGATTAATCAACGCGCGGTTGTGGATCTCTTCGATCTTTTTGACACAAACAGACTTCCATTACTGAAATTTTTATTCTGGAAATCAATAGATAATCATTATACATGATTTTTAATTTTTCAGACATAATATATTGATTTCAATGATCAAATGTCGTCTCGAAAAGTTTTATCCTATATTACGTAAATTCCAGTATTTGCGAACATAATTAAATAGCCATGAATATGCGGGAACAGTTTTAAAGAGTTCCATATAATCATTTAATTAAAAAACTAGATATCAGAAAGTGAAGAATACGACATGAATTCTTTCGATGTATTAAGGGTTTTACTGTATATAGTTCCAAAAAGATTTCAAAGATGTTCCATAATATTCAATGTTTAATAAAATCAGCTACCAGGATGTCAAGATCATTATTCAACAGGAATACATAACCGAAATTTCCATTACTATTTGATTATTCATATTTTCAACAATCCAAAAGTTTATTATAGTGTAGAATTATAAACTGTAAGTAGGAGCTGAATCCATTGACAAAGTTTCTTCATCCCAGTTCTCCTCTTCCTCGGAGTCATTCTTGTCATCTTTAAACATTTTCATCTCATTCTCATCTAAACTATTGATACTGCTTAGCTCCTCATGTTCTTCCTTTCTATTCTCATTTTCAGAATCAGTTTCATCCTCGTCGAGCTCAGATTCCTCTGAAGTCTTGATGTCAGTGGCAGTCAATGGTTTAGGCTTTGTGTTTAGATTAAGAGATCCATTCGGGTACATGAACCTGTATCATTTTAAAGCATAAGTCAACTAGTTTGATACTTATTTTTTAAAAGATACAAAAATCAAATTATTAAAATCTGGCAGTGCAATTAATGTACTAAAATTGTACTAAGCACTAAAAAATTTAAACAGATCAGACTTCACAAAAATCTTTGAAAGGAACTAATCCCTATATCTTTGCAACCTGATGGCGTAAACCTTTTATATTTCAAACTTAGACTATTTGAAATATCAAAGGTCTTCGACCTCGGGTTGCAAAGATATTGTATTATAAAATCAAAGTATTCTTAAAGGATTAGGCTTCAATGAAGTTCTGGAATTTTTCAAATATTAGGTCAATTTTTATTTTTGATTGATGTTTATGAAATATATTAGAAGTATACAGCTGTAGCTCTTTTTCAGCTTGATAAATATTACTGAATTAAATCTGCGCAGTTTTCATTAACCCTATCCCCGCTGGGGTACTTGAAAACCAGGATACGCTGGGGGGGGGTCAATTTGCCCCCCCCCCCCTCTAAATCCCATGTTTTATGTCCAAATATGACAAATGATACATCATTACAAAGCTCTTGTGCTCTACTTTTAGAATCTGCAAAAAAAATTTGCAAATTTGCGAAAATTGAATTTTTTATCGCAAAATCCAGTTTTATAGTAAAAATGTTTGCAAAAAAAAATTTGTCCAAAAAATGACAAATTATACATTTTTGAAAAGCCCTTGACCATGCCATTTCAAATATGCAAAAATTTTTGCAAAATTTTAAATAACCTGATTTTTAATCAAGAAAAACTAAAAATGTGCAAATTTCCTTTGACAGGTTGTTTGCAAAAAATTTGCAATTTTTTTTCTCGCAAAACTTGTGCAATCTGTTTCCTTATGTCATAGGCTTTCCAAAAAGCTAAATTTTATCAAAATCTGACAAGTGAAAGTGGGTCAAAACAAAGATTTAGTTTGCTACAGGCAAAAGCAGTCATTCAGGCAGTGTGCCTGAGGACTCAGGCAGTTAGTATTAAAGCCCGGTTTTAGGCCTAAAGGGAGGGCTTTGGGTATGTAAGAAAAGTCAGAAAATTTCAACAGCCTCAGACCAATGCTTTTTGAGTTATGCAAAAAAAACTACAGGGGGGGGTCAAATTGACCCCCCCCCCAGCGGGAATAGGGCAGTTTTCATTAAATATCTTCCTATGTTGAAAACATATATTATAAAATTGTATGCTCTAAACTTTGTTTTTACTTCATAAATAATATAAAAAGTGTCGAATTTTATGTGAAGTAAAAAGAAATGTTTATGGTAAACAATTGGTTTTATACAAAGTCTTTCATTTTCGTAACTACAGGGTCCTTAACATGAAAATACAGTGACAACTTCATAGTATTATTGCTGGTAAAACATTAATGTAACAACAACAAAGACGCTTTGTCTCGGCATTTCCAAAGGTGGTCTTATAACTTTATTGTTACTTTGTTTTGAAAAGAGTTGAACCGTACACTAAACAGCCTTTTTTATTAGCTCTTACAGTCCATGTTAATAGGGACACCCTGTAGATGAAAAATATGTTTAATGTTTAAAAACAGATAAAAATGATTACCTGTTATAAGCAATATTAACATCCATACAGAACCAGCTTGGGTTGTTTAGCTCTTCAGCCTTCCATAGATCTACCACATAGTTCCTACATCCTGGTCTTAGAGATACCTGATACATACATAGTTCCTGGTCTTAGAAATACCTTTTATATACATAGTTCCTACACCCTGGTCTTAGAGATACCTGATATATACATAGTTTCTGGTCTTAGAAATACCTTTTATATACATAGTTCTTACACCCTGGTCTTACAGATACCTGATATATACATAGTTCCTGGTCTTAGAGATACCTGATATATAATTGTTCCTGGTCTTAGAAATACCTGATATATACACAGTTCCTACACCCTGGTCTTAGAGATACCTGATATGTACATAGTTTCTGCCGTCTTAGCGATACCTGATATATACGTACATAGTACCTGGTCCTAGAGATACCTGATATATACATAGTTTCTGCAGTCCTAGAGATACCTGATATATAAATAGTTTCTGCACCCTGGTCTAAGAGATACCTGATACACACATAGTGCCTGGTATTAGAGATGCCTGATATATACACATTACTCAGTAACTGGTCCTAGAGATACCTGATATTACATAGTTCCTGAACTTAGAGATACCTTTCATATACATAGTTCCTACACCCTGGTCTTAGAGATACCTGATATATACATAGTTCCTGGTATTAGAGATACCTTTTATATACATAGTTCCTACACCCTGGTCTTAGAGATACCTGATATATACATGTTTCTGGTCTTAGAGATACCTTTTATATACATAGTTCCTACACCCTGGTCATAGTGTTACCTGATTTATACACATTACTCAGTACCTGGTCCTATAGATACAGGATTTATACATAGTACCTGCACCCTGGTCTTGGAGATACCTAATATACACACATTACTCAGTACCTGGTCCTAGAGATACCTGATTTATACATATTTTAAACTGTAAATTCTGTAGAATAATTCTAAGTTTCAAATATCAAAGGTTTAGAAAATCAAGATGAAAAAGTTTATGGATTAGAAAATAAGATTTTCTTGTGCAATGCAAAGACTAAATTTCATACCTCTATACATTGGTGGCGTTCAATACTGTTATTCCCACTGCTTGAAAATGTAAAGCAACCTCTATACTGTAAACAATAAGAAATATTAATACGACCCTGCCCCCTCCCAAAACCCCCCCCACACCCTCAACGATACAAAAATACCTCTATACCCTCCCCAAAAATCTTTAAAATTAAAGTCTTTACCTTAAGATCTATTCCCAGTAGATCTGACAGGGGTAGAAGAAATGCTGTAAGTGTACAGGCCACTGTTTGACAATTGCCCTTGAAAATCAAAAATCAAACATGTCGACATAATTTTACTTGACCTTAATTAATAATTTAGATAGAACAACCAGGATATCTTCATAATTTCTGCTCAGGCCAAGATAAAAGAGTACCCATATGCATCGGAAACAGGATAAAAGAGTACCTATATGAATCGGGAACATAATAAAAGAGTACCTATATGAATCGGAAACATGATAAAAGATTACCTATATGAATCGGAAATATGATAAAAGAGTACCTATATGAATCGGAAACATGATAAAAGAGTACCTATATGAATCGGAAACATGATAAAAGAGTACCTATATGAATCGGGAACATAATAAAAGAGTACCTATATGAATCGGAAACATGATAAAAGATTACCTATATGAATCGGAAACATGATAAAAGAGTACCTATACGAATCGGAAACATGATAAAAGAGTACCTATATGAATCGGAAACAAGCAGAGACGCTTAAATATGTGAAAAAAAGATAAGTTGACGATTAAGGTCTCTTCTTTGTTTACTTCAAAAATGGAATTTAAAAACGATTTTTTATCAAAAATCGTCTTCATGGTATTGGTATAATTGCCGACCAATGTATCCTAATTTTCTTAAACCTGTCCATTAACCGCTAGCTTTCCCACGCAATCAGTTCTTGAGATACGAGATCTATCAAATCCACCCTAAACAGATTAGATATTAATTAAATTACTAAATATAAATATGTAAATGTCGAACTAATGAAATTATTTTATTCCAACAAGAAAAACGTGACATTAAGAAACTCCTTTATACCAAACATTTTTTCCGTTATTTAAAAATTTTCAAATTCTAAGAATGGTAAAAATAAATTACATGACTTAAAAAGTGGAGTCTGAGAACAAAAGCTGAAAACACTCAAATCAAATAATCGAAGAAAAATTTTACAGTTCAATAATGAAATTTTGAAATGACTTCAAAGATAGGTTTCTCTCTTATATTTTGCAATACGAATTTTTAATTGTAAAACTTACCAAAAATGTAGAAATGTTCAAACATTTTCGTATCTTCGCTAAAATTTCTTTTTGAACAACTTCTACGTCACTGCTGTTAAAGTCCAACTTTTCAATGAGCGGGGAAATCTCAAAACAGATTTCAAGCATCTTTGCTTTTACAATCTTACTCTTGTAGTCGCATATTAAACCATCCTCTAGGAGCAGTCTAAAGAATGGTTTATTATTGATTCTGGTTTTCAAACTTTTCTTATTCATAAAGAATATGTACCTGTTGTCTGGATGAAAGGAAAAGACATGCGGTTGATTTAGTTCTACAACTTGCTCAGTTTCTATTCTGAAAGCTTTATCTGCAATTAGGTCTTCATATGGATCTAGACTTATAGTCATCTCACTTTCTGAAGCTCTGATCACAGTTGCAATCTGAACAGTTTACAGGTCCAGTCATGATTGATGTCAATATTACATAAAAAGGTTTTTTGAATTTTAAAGAGAGGTTGTTGATAGAAAACCCCATGATTTTATCGATCAGAAAGTTTTATTATCGAATTCTTTTAATTAGTACAAGGCTTTCAGAACGCTTCGTGCCCTTTTTTAACAATTTTATTTTTTAACTTTCGATTTTCCTTGTATTTTCCTTGTACTCCAATGAACACAATTTTTCACGGATTTTTCTGGTTTGATTGTTGCATTTTCCAAAATTGAAAATGTATACATTTTTTAAACCAAAATTTTGCATTTTCAACCGGCCATAACCCTTTCATGGGTCTTGTGAGTTGAGCTGTTTTGACTTTCATTGGATTCAAACAAACAGACAAAAAAATATATACATAGATTAGATCATTAACCATAGTATATGAAATTACCAAAAAAGGTATTATTCATTTTCAAATAAGATTTACAATGAGACCTTCCTGACCAATGTATAATACGTAAACCACCTTTGTGATTCCTGTATCTTTTCCTCCTTGAGTGGGTTCATTATCAAAATCTAGGTCAGATTCATCTTGTAATTTGACCAGAACCTCCCGACCAGGGAAATATCTAGAAATACAAGATTTAGCCAGAACCTCCCGACCAGGGAAATATCTATAAATACAAGATTTAACCAGAATCTCCAGACCAGGGAAATATCTAGAAATACAAGATTTAACCAGAATCTCCAGACCAGGGAAATATCTAGAAATACAAGATTTAACCAGAACCTCCCGACCAGGGATATATCTAGAAATACAAGATTTAACCAGAACCTCCCGACCAGGGATATATCTAGAAATACAAGATTTAACCAGAACCTCCCGACCAGAGAAATGTCTAGAAATACAAGATTTAACCTGCAGAACCTCCAGACCAGGGAAATATCTAGAAATAAAAGATTTAACCAGAACCTCCCGACCAAGGAAATATCAGAAATACAAGATTGAAACAGAACCTCCCGACCAGGGAAATATCTAGAAATACAATTTTTAACCAGAACCTTCTGACCAAGGAAATATCTATAAAATACAAGATTAACCACCACAAGAGAAATAAATTGTGTGAAATTCCTAATTTTAAATATAAAAATTTCAACCTGATGTCTAAACCAATGATATCTCAAACATTGACAAAATTATTTACAGAATGGTATCCTTTAAAATACAATAAAGCGGTCGGCGTTTATATCAATACAATGAAGTGGACTTTTCTATTTAAGTTTTGATTACTAACAAGCTTTTTTCTAATTACAAGTTTACAAGTGAACAAAGAGAAGCTGTTAATTGGCATCTTTTCTTTGTTTCCGTTTATCCATGCTGTTTGAATAGCTTGGTAATAATCAAAAGTCGTCTTTATTGTATTGAGAATTGACATATACGACGACAACTGTAGGTTTTCAACTTCAGGTGGCAAAGATAAGAGAATTTGAATATTAGAGAACATTGATACTAATCTATAGTAATCAAGTTTTAAATCAATTATATTTAAACCTTGGACTTGTTTTCATAGATTCCAAATTTTTTGGCATAGAACTCCAGATACCAATATCATACAGGTAGGTTTCTTCCTAAAATGAAAATTAATTTAATGTGTTTTAAGAGTTTCAAGATTCAAGAATTGAACTATTGGTCCCAAACAAACTATGGATTTTATAGAACAAGGAATGTGGCAGTTGTGTAATTTTTTAAGGGGGTCTAGTAAGCTAAGGGGGGGGGGGNGGGGGGGGGGGGAGAGGCCAACCCTATTCGATCCTAAACTCTTAAAGAGTCATGGCCCTAACTTTTATTATACTGAAAACACCACAAAATGTTTTACTTGCCTTATATATTTCAGAGAATTCATAATCTAGCCTGCCCCAACAAAATAAAATTTAAAGGGTAAACAATTGTAGCCCCCCCCCCCCATATTGAATTTTATAAAATCGCCCGCTATATATTTAGAAAATCCAAGTTTAGAGGATGTAAGCAGGGACTCCAGGGACAAAAGAAATGGATGTTATTCTGTAAAAATTCATTCTTTTTAAGTGTTTCGCCGGCGCGGCAATCGCCGCATCAGATTAATAGAAAAATTCTACACCGCAAAAAATGCTTTCCCCCCCCCCCCCCTCCCCAATACCCTAGTTACGCCTCTAAAATATACTTTATCCAGTAATTGTGGTGACAGCTCTGGAAGGCAGTTAAACACACTGTTTACACTCCTGTAAGGAAAAGTTCAAATAAGATAAAATGTTTGAAGAAATCCTGATAAAGAATTTAATGTTAAACCTGTGAAGTTTATCGGACGGATTTTCTGATGCTCGATACAATGCTCTGATACCATGCCTAAAAGCCATGCTTTCAAACAGCCTAAAAACAAACACATGATAATATGATGATATCTATAACAAATATTGAAATCTTCTTCTATATAATAACAAGTGAAAATTAATTTTGCTAATGCTAAAAAATAAGGGGAGCATTTGTCCCCCCCCCCTCCAGCTTTTTACGCAAAGCTCTCTTATTTTTGTAACAATCTCCTTGATGTAGAAACAATCCCCTTGATGTAGTAACAATCCCCTTGATGTAGTAACAATACCCTTTGATGTAGTAACAATCCCCTTGATGTAGTAACAATCCCCCTGATGTAGTAACAATCCCTTTGATGTAGTAACAATCCCCTTGATGTAGTAACAGTCCCCTTGATTTTTAAGAATGTGTATCTCATAAGATTTTTTTACCAAAACATTTGAAAATATTTAAGCTACAAGTCTGGATACATGAAAACACGTGAGCATAGTAAAGGAATTGAGTCTTTGCCCCAAACTCTGAATTTATAATCCCTATATCTTTGGAACCCAATGTCGTAAATCTTTGATATTTCAAACTTATATTATTTGATCTAACAGAATTCATAGTTTGAAATATCTAAGGTCTACGACATTGGAATCCAAATATATAGGGTTTAGAAAAGCAGAGTTTGTGGCAAAGACTCAATTCCTTTAGGGGCGTACGAGGGGGACACCCATAGAAAAATTTACTTTAAAATCTCACTTTTGCCCTTAACTAAAAAATTTTCATTAAAAAATTTTTAATCAATACTGCTTCATTATTTATAATACAATATGTATCGTTCCTATGAAAATATAGATATTTTTAAAGAAACGTTTCCATCACTATTTTTCACCCCTTGAAGCTTACACCACAGTATTAAGAAGGAGTGTCTGATTAGTTCAATTAAGAAAATTACATAAATAATTTATTAACACTTGTAATATGGAAGCGTGTATATGATCAAATAGTTTACATAGTTTAAAAAGGTATCAATATTTTTTTCAAAAAAGGTGCTTTTAAGGGGGGGGGGCAAAATGTTGCCCAGGGAGGGCAGCACATTGTGCCCCCCCCCCCCCATTTAAATTTGATTTGAAAAATGGGCCTAAGAACAATGATTATGTATTGTAACTCCATATTTCGAATCAAATGCATATTTCTAGGGGGGGGGGGGATGGCAAGCGATGTCCCCAGGCTATACTTATCTCCATACCCTCCAGCCTTTTCAGAGTTAAGTAAAGTACACCTGACAGCATTGACCTCCGGGTTAGGAACATTTAAGATGGCTTTAATCTCCTCACTAGTTAAACTGTTAGAGAAGTTTATATTACAAACTTCAACCACCTTGTCACCATTCGTAGACTCAGTCTCTCGTTCTTAAATTCAATAATTAATATTATCAACTTAGATTAAGAATTTAAAAGGATAATAAACCGCACAAATAATATTGAATAAAAGTAAAAAAAAAAAACTTAAAAAATCACTTCTTTACAAGAAACTGTTAATATCATCTGGGATCAGATTTATAATTAATAGTGAGAAGTAGCTGAACCGCGCAGATATAGATCAACTACTTCTCTTGTGTCATGTTCATATCTTGCTATTCATTTAATCTTGTCTCTGTGCATGTTTATTTATAACAATACTTCTAATTTCTTAACATTTTCTAGCTAAGCATTGCCAACCTGCTGCGTCAAATTTTTAGATATAAACACTTGCGGTACTTGCCCAAGGTTATAATGCAAGGAAAGTTAATTGCAGTTGCGTATTTTCTGCGTACATATTGAAACCAGTTCTCTCTGGGCGGAATTTGTAAACAAGAATAGATGCATCAGTGTTCGTTTAGTATCCGAGGAGGTTAAAAGCATTAAATTTTGATAATTTACGTAATAGTTTTCTATGACCAGAATATTTCATTGATTTCTTATGTGAAAGATGGATCCCATGTCAGGCTTCGACAACCGTCTTGTGTTTACATTACCACCCAGTGACAGTATACTGCAGTACAAAAGATGCCTACACCTCTGAAATAACTTTCCTTGCATAATAACCTTGCACTTGCCTATCTATAGTTTCTTATATCATCAGAATTGTTATTATTCTAACCTATTGGTTTGAACAGGGGATTGTAGTCAATACAAGTTCCAGTTAAAAATTCTATAATTGGTCTCATTACTCTATCTCCAATTTTTTCATAACAGTTTACATTCGCATCCTTTCTCCTGTCCCCAAAATGGATCATCTCTGCCTGAACAAAAGATTGAAAGTTTAAAAAAAAAATATAAAAAATCTGAAATTACCTGAAAATCTGGAATTTTGTTTGCAATATGCTTAAAGGCCTTCCATGAATGGTTTTGATCCTCTTTGACCCAAAGAATAAATACTTCACATTGTAGAAACCGCACTTAAAATATAAATAACTTTATTGAAAACTAAATCAGGAGATTTTGAATTCTTTAATACAATTAAAGTATCACCTCTAATATCTGGGATTTCCCTAAAGTTAGGAAGAAAAAGAACAAGTTTTCGAACCAGTTTAGGGAAAAGAACTGCAAAGGATATTCCTATTCCACCGCCCCAGTCGTAACCTATAAAGTCATACAAGTAGCACTTTGTTCCTCTCACATAGAACTATTTTTTTTAGAACTTTCCCGATGTCATTAAATTTCTTAAATCTGTGGTAGTGGTAGTTTTGTATTTTTTGAATATAGCATATTTTTTGATTTCCTCAAAATCTAATTTTCTTTGCAACCTGGTGGTGTAAATCTTTGATAACTATTTTGACTGGCATAATTCATAGTTTGAAATATAAAAGATTTACGATATTAGGTTGCAAGAAAATTTAGAATTTGAGGCGTGTAATCAATTCTTACCAATGATATCTAGATATTTTACCCCGTAATGCTTGATTACAGCACTAAGGACTTCAACTGGACCACCCTGAAAACAATCATGAAAATATTATTGATATTTTTTATAAAAATGATTTTGTTGAATAAAGCATTACAGAATAAGAAATTATTACAGCATAATCTTTTAAACGATTATAGAAAGATTGTTTACATATTTGTAAATGGTTTAATTGGTTTTGATTAATCTTACAACTCAAAAAAAAACTAGATAACAGTTTTTGCTTCTTATGTTTATAATTAGTTGTAGTGTGGTTTCAAATTAAAACTTTAATCATATTATCTTCTCTTCTCATAGACATTCTTCAAGACTTATAGTAATACTGGAACTCTTAGTAATACTGGAACTCTTAGTAATACTGGAACTCTTAGTAATACTGGAACTCTTCTTAAACATTTATGGCAAACTTAGACTAATTTTCAATTAGGTGAACATTTCCTTAAAATGGCGAGTATGACACCTTATCTGTGGCTCGTTCACTCCTGCTGGGAAACCGTTTGCCAGGCGAGCCTCCGTAGCCGGGCTGGTCAACCCCTATTATCCTAAACTCATTGAACGCAAGACCGGCCAGAAAGTGCCTAAAAATCAACATTATACAGGATGTCACAATACACATTAAGTGACGGCTTTCAAATCGTTATTGTTTCACGTGACGTAGTTTCGTGAATACATTTTTAGAACTTTACTGCATATCAGTTGAAGCACTGACTAAAAGTCTCAGGATTTTAAAAATGTGGTCTCCCATTTTAAAAATGTGGTCTCCCATTTTTCATCTTCAAAATTGACGGAGAGTTAGATAAAGCTATTAAGTCTTTGCCACAAACTCAAATTTTCTAATCCCTATATCTTTGCAAACTGAAGGTGTAAACATTTGATATTTCAAACTAAGATTATTTAATCTTCCGGAAGTTTATTGTTTAAAATATTTAAAGTGTACAACATTGAGTTGCAAAGATGTAGGGATTAGAAAAACAGAGTTTGAAGCAAGATTCAATTCCTCGGTCTAAATTGACAATTGACTAAATAACGACATAAATTGTCAATTATCGAGAACAAGGAAGAACAGTTTTTAAGATATAAAATAAGACGTTGAATTCTTTCTTTTTTTGACTCTTTTGTCAGAAATCAAAGATTACTTTCAAGTTATTTTTGTGACACTGCATTGAATCTAAAGATACAAGCATGGATGTGAATAGAAAATATTCTGATTGTGACCTGAATTCTTGAAATGATGAAGGACAACTATGCAAGAGTAAAATAGTAAATCCATCTGGATTCCCGCTGTGATGGCACATAATTTCACCTAGATTTACAATATTAAATATGTAATTCATTTTATCACTAAAAGGATCATTCAGAAAGTAATTGAGTCTTTGTCACAAACTCAAACTTTGTAATCCTGTATTTTTTAAACCTGATGACATGAGTCATTGAAATTTCAGACTTAGATTATATAATCTAGCAGAATTCATTGTTTGAAATATCCAAGGTCTACGACGTTGGGTTGCAAAGATATACATAGATATAAGAAAAACAGAGTTAGTGGTTAAGATTCAATTCCTTTACCTAGTGGAGTCCTAATCCTCTCTGAAGTAATGGTGACTTCAAATCCATGCCAAGGGAAGGCAGTTACCGTCGGCCTAAGCTTATTAGTGTTCCCTTTAACAGTAGCTAAACTATTCTGCACTATTACATGTTCTGAAAAAAAGCAAAGAAACCCTGTTACACCTGTTTTCTTTTGTATAATTATTGCATAAATTAACGCCTGTGGAAATTTCTGTTTGAGCTGAACTCTAGAGTGGACACTTTTAATTTAGCGATCATAATGCTTTAAGGGACTGCAAGCGTAATTTCAAGTGACCCTCCATGCTCTATGCAAAGATGACAATGCCCGATTTACAGCGGTGACCCGGATAAGCAATGTCTGATCTAGTATAAATTAGATATCAATGTTTTTGTTTATTAAAACAGTTTTTTTCATTTCCGGTTTCCCTGCGAAAGTGACTCGAGCATTTCTTGTTTATAAGAAGCAATGTAGAAACTCTCAGACATAAACACTTTTTGTCTCAGAAAAATGACGGTATCTTCGACATTTTTTATCAGATCAAAGTCTCAAAAGTACCGTCGCGAATCGGGCATTGCCATCTTTGCATGGAGGGTCACCTAAAAATACGCTTACAGTCCCTTTAATCTACCAATAATCTTAGAAATATTCAGAAGGAACAAACTTAATCTGTAAAACTACAAAAAACGCGGATTAATGTTTTCTGAAGTGAATTGAATCACACAAAAGTTACGAGCTCCCGGATAATTAGTTTACCTATCTTTTTACAACTATGTGCAAACTTCAGGGTTGATTTAGTTTCCATATTGAACTGCTGACTAGGAGACACCATGGCTAGGACAGTAGTGAAAGAGTTTCCTCCCAGGCTCTCACTGAGTACCCAGGTCAGCTAGAATTTGAAGAAAAAACCTCGGTCAAAACTTTTGTCAGCGCAGACTTTTACTAATATCTATAGAGCAAGACAACTTATTTTAAACCTTTTAAAAAGTAAGATTTAGAACATACTTATTCATCAACATTTTTTAAAATGAGATTTCGAATATACCAGAAAAAACAGGTATGCATTACTAAATAAAACTAAAAAGGTTCCTAGCAATTCTAAAATCTTAATATATTAAGGCTGCAAACATCTTCAAATTATAACTTTTTTTTCGCAAAAGAAAATTCCTGATATGAGAGCCTAGCATACTGACGGAATTGAGTCTTTGCCCCAAATTCAGATTTTCTAATTTTTATATCTTTTCAATTCAACATCGTAAACCTTAGATATTTCAAACAATGAATTCTGTTGGATCAAATCATCTAAGTTTAAAATATCTAATGTTTACACCTTCAGAATGCAAAGATAGGGTGTAGAAAGTTTGAATTTGCGACAAAGACTCAATTCCTTTGTAATTGATTCACCTTAGAGTTTCTGTAAGGTATATAATCAGCTCTTTGAGATAGTGCTTCAACAACAGATACAAGAGCAAACAAAGAGCTGTTAATTGCTCTTGTTTCCTAAATCATTATCAATATATGATTTGGCTGGTATGTTGGTTGAGGAAGTTTGTCTGTTATGTTTGTTTGTATCAAATAAACCTTCTGTGGTATCTCATATGACCATAGATAAGGTTTGATTAGTTTAAAATGAAAATTTAGCTACGAAAAAATGTCAATTAAAAGTTTTGGAATTACACCTCTAAGAAAATCTGAAAAATACGCGAAGTTATTAGTTTCATAATGTTTAAAATGCGCGGCTTATAATAGTATTAAAACTAAACTATTTTACCTGAAGCCTTTCACCTTCAGCCTGTAAAAAAACTGGTTAGTTTAGGCAACAAAATTGGTGTATTTTTATATTAATCACATCTTTTTACAATAATAAAAAAGGTTTAAAAATCAGTTTATTTTTACGCTTGACTTCTCTGTAACCTGAGAATCTTTCAGTCTTTCTGAACCTGCCAAGTCAACTAGGTTCAATTTTGCACAAGTTCCATCCTAAAAAACATACACTATAATAGCTCTGTATCTATAATAATATTTAAAAAAATATTTTAATATTTTTAATTGTTGTATGTAAATTACACTGAGCTATAAATAATCTTTATCTAGAAGTATGGGATAACAAATCACAAACTTATATTACATTATTTGTTGCAAACTTTCAATCCCTTAACTTAGACCTAACACCTTTTTAAGATTTCTTATAATCCGATTTTTTGTTTATTCTCCAGAATTTTTCAATAATTCAAATAACAAAGGAATTGAAGGGATCCTCTATTTAAAGAGGGCCATGCCATATTCGCCACACGTGACACATCCCTCGAAACCTTAATCTGATCAAGAATGAGAAAGATATTCTAGCTTGCACAGGGGTTCACTGTTCAAGCAAAAATCGATGAAAATGTTGCCAATTATTTCTTAAAAACCAAAGCTAACAACGAGTACATGATAGTGCATGCATAAAGGGCTACAGAAAAGCATAAATGAGTTAGAGCTGTAAAATCTAAGCCCAAGGCGTTGCGACATTTCAAAAACGACCCTGTCTTAAAGATTGATTGGACTGTTTATTAGCAGGCTGAAACTATGCGGGTTAATTTCTTTATTGTTTCTGAAGCAAGAAATGCGCAAGTCACTCGTGTAGAGAAACCACAAATAATAACTATCAAGTTTTCAAAGACAAAAAAAAAACATTGTGTATCTAATTCATACTTAGTCAGACAAAGCTTTTCAGGGTAATGTTTTATCAAGGAGAGTCAATATAGATTAATATATACAGTCCCTTCTATATATATACTTTGTCTGCTTGGGTGTCTGTCTGTCTGTCCGTTAGAATCCAATAAACGTCAAAACGGCCAAACTGATCGGGCCCAAATTTTGCGTGGGACCTCACGTGACCCCAGGTAAGTATTATGAATGATCAAAGCTTCAAAAATTAGCCTCTAACAAGATTTAATTTCCATTAAATTTTGAAAATCCACGAAATTTGTTTATAAAATTCGCAAACCTATTATTTTGTTTGTTTCACAATTTATACACAGAGAAAATTAAAATAAAAGATCGCCCAAAAAGTCTTGTTAATATGAAAAGGTGACATTATTTCTTCTAATTAGGATTTTCAATTTTTGAACGGTAATAGACATTACCCTAGCTTTGACTGTAAGTGTTAGAATCATGTGACTTCTGCTGCTGACGTCATTCAGCATAGTTCCAGACACTGCTCTACGACTCTCAGCTTTACCTGCAAACAAACAGTATATATATTCTGATTTGTTTCAAATAACTACATTAACAAAATCAACGCGTTGGAGCTTTGTAAACCTGAAACGGAGATTTTTCAAAAGTATTCAGAACGAGAAGGTCAGAAGAATACCCGAGGCCTGACTTCAAAGACGACATGGTCTCATAAGTAGGTGAAACAATGTTAAATTGTATAAAATGCTCAGCAATTAAATGTTTACTTCAAAACTTTAGTTGGATTCATAAGAGATTTTTAAGATTTATAAAAGATTTATTGAATATTTATTAAAGATTTATAAAAGATTTATTAAAGATTTATAAAAGATTTCTTAATAACTATTTATAACACTATTATTTTGGTTCGCAATGTTATAAAGCTTTTGGACAGAAACTTTCTCTTTATCGAGAAGTTTTTAGATTATATTTTCTCCCGATAGTTATATAAAGATTTCTTAAAAATTTCTTAAAGATTACCAAGAAACTTTAAAGATTCCTTAACAGATGAAATCCGTTTCTGAGTTAGTCCAACAATATCGACTCCGTTCTATGAAAAATAAATGCTTAAGTAAAAACAGGATTTGTGTTAACCTACAAAATACAATACTTTGTTTTCATGGTTTATGTTTTAAGTTAAAAATATTTAAATGTAGTGAATATGTAAAATGTAAAAATTAATGTTAGGTAATTTCCCAAAGGCATTTTCACAAGGCCGACTTCCCAAGTAACAATTTCCCAAGTGGAAATTTTCCAATTTTCCAATTTCCCAAGGTGCAGCTTCTGAAAGGTTAGGTTAGGCCTTTGAGGCGCCGCGGGCTGCAATGAGGGGTCGAACGCTGCGGCTAAGATGGGCTGTGACTAGACCAGGCTAGAGGCTGAGTGCTGCGCAGACTTGGGAAGTTGCCGCTTGGGAAATTGCCCAATTGGAAAGTTTCCACTTGGGAAAATACCCTTGGGAAGTTGCCGTTTGGGAAAAAGCCTTAGGGATAGTACCTAACATCATTATTTCTCTATTATTATTTGTGCAATATATAAAAATAAAAAATAAACTTACTTGCGTCTGCCTTAAGTTAAGCCCCTCTGCGAAAGTGGTTCCTGAATTAAAAAAAATTTGATTAAAAATTATATTAAATTAATTTCTTCTAAAAAATAAATGGTTACCAAGTAAATCGTAAACTTGTTCTTTGTAGATCTGAAGTACGGCCATAGAGATGGAATAATCTAAATATTAATAAGTACAGTCATAGAGATGGAATAATCTAAATATAAATAAGTACAGCCACAGAGATGAATAATCAAAATATGAATAAGTACAGCCATAGAGATAAATAATCTAAATATAAATAAGTGCAGCCATAGAGATGGAATAATCTAAAAATAAATAAATACAGCCATAGAGATGAATAATCAAAATATAAATAAGTACAGCCATAGAGATAAATAATCTAAATATAAATAAGTACAGCCATAGAGATGAATAATCAAAATATGAATAAGTACAGCCATAGAGATAAATAATCTAATTATAAATAAGTGCAGCCATAGAGATAAATAATCTAAATATAAATAAGTGCAGCCATAGAGATGGAATAATCTGAATTTATTCGTTTTCGACCCAAAAGCGCTGATGCAACTAAATATTTTGGTAAATTTCTTGTTAAGAGAAAGTGAATATTGTCATTTGAGCATTTCTGAAAGAAGAAAGTGAGTCAGAAAATGCTAGATTAATACAAAACATTCAAACGTAAGATATTAAAAACATTGCTCTAACCTTCCTCATTCAGTAAATGTCTAATTGCTCTCACAGCTAATCCTTCCTTCTCGTTCTCTCCACCTTTATATTTAAATTAAAGGGTACACCAATTTCAAAGGACTCTCTATTTGAAGAATGATATGTTTAATTCACAATGGTACCCTGTAAACTTATGTCTGATCGAAAACAAAGGAGATATGTAAAAACGACAACGTTTATTAATCAGTATAGCATAATTCTTTTAATGAAGGATCGTTTAAAATGTAATTACGTCGACAGTCCCATTTATGAACAGTGGTCGGCGTTCATACCAATGTGTCGTATCGTTTGCACTAATGATTGATCGGACTAACGTACATTCGCACTAATGTTCATTCGGACTAACGTACATTCGCACTAACGTTCATTCGGACTAACGTTTTATTTGAGGGTTAGGTTAGGTTAAGACTATTTCTTGGTCGAGCGCTGCGGCTAGGACAGGCTAGGGGGCCGGGCGCTGAGGCCACAAGTGTTACTGGTCAGCTGACTTTAGTGCAAAAGTAAGTTAGTTCAATCGGACATTAGTGCAAACGATATAGCATCCATACCAATACAATAAACACGCCTTTGTGTCGAAATAAGTTGTGATTTATAACAATCTTTTTCAAATTACAAGTTTATTAGTAAACACAAGAGAAGCTGTTATTGACAGCTTCACTTGTGTTTCCATGTTTATGTGTTTGAAATCTTGGTAGATATAATTAAGATCGAATTTTGTCTTAATTGTATTGTTATATACGACGACGACTGTGGAAAACAAACAAAAAATAACTTCAGGGAGAGAGAAAATGCATTGCTGTTTTCTGTGCAAATCTTGTCAAATAAAAAAATGACAAAATTTAAATACAAATATCGTTTTATAATGATTTTAAATTCACAATATTTACCGTTTTAAGAAACCCTGAATTTTTTAATTTGAAATACCAACTACCAAAAAACATTTTGAAATTTCCAACAATTCTTTCGTAACTTCGTAGTTTGATGATTTTACGTTAGAGTTGGGGTTTCTTGTATACAGTGTTCAAACAAATATATCTAGAAACAAAAAACATTTTGAAATTTCCAACAATTCTTTCGTAACCTCGTAGTTTGATGATATTACGATAGAGTTGGGGTTTCTTGTATACAGTGTTCAAACAAATATATCTAGAAACAAATTGAGTTTTTGCCACAAGCTCAAACTTTCTAATCCCTATATCTTTGCAACCTAATGATGTAAACCTTTAGTATTTTAATTTTAGATTTTTTATATCAAAGGTCTACGACATCGGGTTGCAAAGATATCGGAATAAATTGTGTAGAAAACTTATTTTCTTATTTTCTTATTTTCTTACCAAGAATAGTAAATGTTTTTCCTGATCCAGTTTGTCCGTAGGCTAGTATTGTAGTGTTGTATCCTCTAAACAATAAATATTAATAAATACAGAAGAAATATTAATATCTTAATTTCTTTTTATTAGAATCTTCAATTTTTGAACGGTAATAGACAATATTCCATAATTTAAAACAAGAAAAATATCCAAGAAAAAAAATAAGTTTGATCAATCTCTAATCTTCAAATCCTAATATCTTTGTAACCTGAGCTAGAAGCTCTTGTGTTGTGAATATTGAGATCAAGGCTTGATATCGATCTTTTGTTAACATGCAGATTAATTTAATCGTTATTCGATACCCCGCATGATAATCGTACCCAGTCAGGGGTGGAAGGGAGTACGTGTGAGTACGTGGATTTAACGGTTTTGTCAATATTTTTGAAAGCTTTGACTTTCGATAACAATTTGCCCCGTTAATAATAATTTTTTAGTCTCTTTTCTTAAAGGGACCGTTCACTTATTTGGGTAATTTCAGGGTAAACTGAACTGCCTATTCGCTCTAGATTGGTAATAGTCTTACTTTTCAAATACAACTGTGGCCGGAGAAAAAGCCGATTTTTCGTTTAGAATTTGAGCGGAAAGGGACGGTCCCTCTCTATAGACACTATTTGATGTTTTATTTTCAGTAACAGCAGCCCAATAACATTTATTATATTTTAATGTCATTATGTGTTCGTTATTATGAACTAAAATATGAAAACTTTTGATATTTGAGTTAGCAAGAAATTTACGTTTTTCGTGTTAAAACATGTAAAATATGTATACAAAGACGACGTCTCTACGACAATCAATTAATCATTACTCCTATTTTGGTTCGTAGATTTTGTAGATTTTGTTCGCGTATGTGCACAACTTTTCATTTGTCATGCCGCGTTCAATTCAGCTTTTTACACAGGCAATACACAATTTTGAATGCGATAAAATAGTGTTATTTTAGAAATAGAAGGTAAAAAACAACAAAAATTTAAAAATAATGACATTAACAATTAACGATCAGATACTACAGTTTAATTTTATATTCGAAATTTATTTTGATTCACAACATACTGAAAAAAACATCAATTAGTGTCTATAGAGAGGGACCGTCCCTTTGCGCTCGAATTCTGAACGAAAAATCGGCTTTTTCTCCGGCCACAGTTGTCTTTGAAAAGTAAGACTATTACCAATCAAGAGCGAATAGGCTGTTTAGTTTACCCTGAAATTACCCAAATAAGTGAACGGTCCCTTTAAACACTTTTTTTGCCTGTATATACGTTTTGAATGAAAAAGTATACAATAAACAAATCCGTAAGTTTAAAGATTGTTGAAATAAAAACCAAAACACGTTTGATTACAAATAAAAGAAACCGACTGCTTCTCACTCTTGTCAGTCCGGTGTGGTGTGAGAGATTTTTTAAGTGTGTTCATATTGGATATCGAGATCAAGCGATCGGGGTTACGAGTATCCAACAGCCCTGACGCCGTGACCTTGGATAGTTCAATCTATGAATTCTGATAGATCAAATAATCAAAGTCTGAAATATCAGTAGTTCCCACTATATCCGGTTGAGAAGATATAGGGATAAGAAAATGAGAGTTTGTGTAAGGTGTTACTGTTAAGACGCTTCGTCTGATTACTTGACTGATAAAGATGTCCATTAAAGACTTTATTCAAGTAATTTAATAATAGCCTTTTCCTGGATTAAAAAAAAAACCTATTTCAAATGGTTTTGTAATTCTACCATTAAACGGAAAAGAGTCTTTGCCCCAAACTCTGATTTTGTAAAAATCTATTTCTTTGCAACCCACTGTCTAAGTTCATAAATATTTCAAACTATGCATTATGTTAGACCGAATACACCAGCTAGTTGCAAAGATATAGAGATTAGAAAACTTGAGATTGCGACAAAGATTAAAGTGTTAACCTGATTACGTTATCAACTGATGTGTTGGATAAGGTTGAGTATATTTCCTCCTGGGTTGATGAGGGTGAGAAAACATGATCAAATGTATATCTGGACACCTAGATACAGTGGAACCCATAAAAATGTGGAATATGAAAACGAGTTTTAGACTAAAGCTTTGGTTTTGAATAGTTTAATGAACATAAACACATCAATTGTGCAGTATATACAGACCCTTTTTACTTATTTCGATGATTTTCAAGCTGCTAAACTAATGCCAGAGCTATTTCTTTTAAAACAACATCAAAAATACATAATATTGATTAAATGTCATTTTCCCTCTTTGATTATTTTGAAAATTATCAAAAGTATATGCTGAGACCTATAGATGTAAGCTGAGCTGGGAACTTTAGAATGGTGGATATCAGGATTAATGCTTAATCCTCTCTTTTTGCTAATCTCGAGACTAACATAATCTCGAGATTATGTTAGTCTCGAGATTAAATATTAATGCTTAATCCTCTCTTTTTGCTAATCTCGAGACAAACATAATCTCGAGATTAAATATTTAGATTAACAAGTTTGATTCTAGGAATGCCAAATTTACTCGTTATCTTCACTCAATTTCCCACTTTGCTTAATTAATTAATTGGTTAAAAAAGAATCTTAAACGTATTATTCTTAATTCTTAATTTGTTAGCAATTGCGGATTTCTATCATAGAATAGAATTTAATTTCAAGGCTGTCATTGATCAATACAATTTACAATCTATATTCCTGCACTCTCATTGGAGAAAACAATGTACGGATATCCAAAGAGAGAGAAAAAAAGTGGATTAAGGACTAAAATTTAAAGTTTCCACAGTGGATATTCGGATTAAGTAGTCGGGATTAAAGGTATCCCATTCTAAAGTTCCCAGCTCTGATCATATATTTAACTACACTTAACTATATACAGAGAAATATGATCAAATGTATATCTTGAAACCTATAGATATAGGTTAATCATTATTCAACTATATTCATAGATACAGAGAAATATGATCTAATGTATATCTTGAAACCTAAAGATATAGATTAATCATTATTCAACTATAATCATAGATACAGAGAAATATGATTAAATGTATATCTTGAAACCTAAAGATATAGATTAATCATTATTCAACTATATTCATGGATACAGAGAAATATGTTTAAATGTATATCTTGAAACCTATAGATATGGATTAATCATTATTCAACTATATTCATAGATACAGAGAAATATGAACAAATGTATATCTTGAAACCTAAAGATATAGATTAATCATTATTCAACTATATTCATAAATACATAGAAATATGATTAAATGTATACCTTGAAACCTAAAGATATAGATTAATCATTTATTCAACTATATTCATAGATACAGAGAAATATGATCAAATGTATATCTTGAAACCTAAAGATATAGATTCAACGTTATTCATAGATACAGAGAAATATGGGTAACGTACCTTGTTAGGAATTGATCCATGCTGATGTAAGATTGGATCAGCCGATGGAGAAACAAAGATGGTTTGCCCCTGATTTTATAAAAAAAGATTTCAATAATTAAAAAAAAAATAAAGTTTATTTTAACCAAAATAAATATTCAAACTTTGTGGTAAAAATGAAAACTTTTATTTTGAAAAACTTTTTGCCATACAATTTAAAATATGCAAAAAAAATGGGCTCAACAAAAGGTATCAAATAAAGTCTTGGTCATAGATATTGTTTTTTCATTACTATATCTTTGCAACCCAATATCGTAGAACTTAGATGTTTCAAAATATGAATCGCGTCATGTTAGATAAAGGAATTGAGTCTTTGGAACAAAATCAAATATTTAAACCTCAATATCTTTAGAACCCAATGTTGTAAACCTTTGATATTTCAAACTCAGATTATTTGATTTAACAGAATTCATAGTTTGAAATATCTAAGGTCTGCAACATTTGGTTCCAAAGATATAGTGATTAAAAAATCAGAGTTTGTGACGAAGACTCAATTCCTTTGTCTAACTTTGAAATATAAAAGGATTACAATAATTCAAAGTATTATTTCCTTCTAAAACCCCTTCTAAAATTCATAAACAGTCCTTTTTCCAAATGAGCTGAAGCATATTCTGATCAGACAAAGGAATTGAGTTTTTGCCACAGACTCAAATCTTCTGATCCCAATATCTTTGCAATCTGATGATGCAAACCTTTGATATTTCAAACTCAGATTATTTTATCCATAAGTATTAATAGTTTGAAATATCTAAGGTCTACGACATTGGGTTACAAAGATATAGAGATTAGAAAATCAGAGTTTGTGGCAAAAACTCAATTCCTTTATAGATTTAAACAAGATAAATATGCATTGAAAGGGATTAAGAAAGAAGACTTTGAATCCTTTTTTCCATTCCATTCCATTCCATAATCAATATAATAAAGCTCTTAGCAAATATATATATATTTTTATATTTCAGTTTTTAACTTCACATTTTTATTAAAAAAAGAATTATACTAAACATAATGTTTCACGTCTATCATGACGATCCTCAGTAGCTACAATTCTTTGAACAACTACAATTCCAAGATTTTTTCATCACATATTGCGTATTTTCTAAAAAATTATTACAAACATTTCGTTGCAATAATTTTCCCTTTTAAAAAAAAAAATACAGCACTCAACTGCAATATACAAATTATTAGATACCTATAAAAACATGATCACATTATATATATATATTTTTTAGCTATAGCTGCCCAAACGGGCTGGACCGAACTGGCTGATTTTTTTAGGGAAATCATGCAGGGGGTAGAAACAAATTAGATTTTCTTTTCAAAATTCAAACTTTTCGTTTCAAAATTTGGATTTTTTCTAAAGTCTTAAAATTCCACTGGCTGCTCCGGGCACTTAATCTAGTAAGTTCTATAAGTTGTCTAACCTTTTCAGTTGAAGGTCCAACTTCCACGCAACTGTGATATATCCCGTTGGGTAAAATCTAAAATATCAATTTTAAAGTTTGACCATGAAAAGAGTATAAAATGTTGTTTAGAAAGGCTGGAGTAATTTTTTCAAGTCCCCATTCACCACTGAAGTGATTGAATGCCCGATTAGTAATAATATCCTTAAACCTTTGTTTGGATGAATAAGATATGCTTATTTATTAGATAACAGTTTGTTGGTTCTCTATAAACACAAAATTCTAAATTCTCAACACACTTTGCGAGAACGAAAACTACTATATCTTCCTTATAGTTATTCAGATAGAGGCTCTTGTGAATCGAACACTCTTTTAAAATGAAGAGTCTCTTGAAATTTCATCTACAGTCCCTTTATTGTTAACTTAATACAAATAGTCAACAGTATTCACTTACTTACCCTCAAAGTAATATTAAACACTTTCCTCACTAGGGACTAGAGGTCTTACTTACCCTTACAATAAGATTTATCACTTACCTTACTTGAGACAGGTCTTACTTATCCTCAGAGTGATATTAAACACTGACCTCACTTCAGACTGGAAATCTTACTTAACCTCACAGTAATATTCAACACTTACCTCATTTTGGACCTGAGGTCTTACTTACCCTCACAGTTAAATTTAACACTTACCTCACTTGGGACTGGAGGTCTTATTTAACATCACAGTAATATTCAACACTTACCTTACTAGGGACTAGAGGTCTTACTTACCCTCACAGTTATATTTAACACTTACCTCACTTGGGACTGGAGGTCTTATTTAACATCACAGTAATATTCAACACTTACCTTACTAGGGACTAGAGGTCTTACTTACCCTCACAGTAATATTTAACACTTACCTCACTAGGGACTAGAGGTCTTATTTAACTTCACAGTTATATTCAACACTTACCTCACTAGGGACTAGAGGTCTAATTTAACTTCACATTAATATTTAACACTTACCCCACTAGGTACTGGAGTTCTTACTTACCCTCACAGTAATATTCAACACTTACCTCACTTGGGACTGGAGGTCTTACTCGGACAGCAACCTTCACCTTGCTCAAGATTTCCTAAGAATTTATAAAATCTTCAGTTTCTTAAAAAGTGAATGTTTGGACTACATTTTTTAGAATGCAATTTATCACTTTCAATGAAGAAAATTCAAAAAATTAAAAATCTAAATTTAAAATATTGAAACATTATTTAAACCTTTGATTCTTCCATGCTTTGTTGTATTGTATCTTCAATATCCATAAATAAACTGACTTCTTTATTGAAGAAAGGAAATATGTTTCAGAATTTATCTGTAGATCAACAGTGTGTCTCAATAAAAAAGATCAACACGTGTTTGAGTTTATTCTGATACACCCAGGACACCATAGTTAGACCATTAAAAAAATCAAGTAATTCTTTCCATAATTTTTATAAAGGGTGCACCAAAGGCCATTTTGTAATTAATTATATACAGGAAATCAGAGACAATACAAATTTTGCTCTTGATACCCATGTTTATTGGGACACCCTGTTAATATGTATTATTGGTAGGGTTAGATTAAAATCTTTTCCACCTAGCTTTCTACAAATATAGAAAATACCAATCTTACAGCTTTTGCGTAGTACTTTCATTGAAACCATTTTTTCATCTTAAATACATTAGAAAAAATTACTGACTAAAATGTGACGTGATTTTCTGCTTTTATTGTTGTTGTTATTACGTATTTATTTAAATAGATTTTTTCAATAAGACACTACAAGACATTTGAACCAATCAGTTTTGCCTTTTTAGGGCGGTTTCAGGATTATTATCAGGGGGGGCCAGGGGGGGGGGATAAAATAAATATTCTGGCGAAGCGCGAAAACAAAAATGTTGCCCCCCCCCCCCCCCCCAATTGTGAGGATTTACCCGCCCCAGAGTTGCATAAAAAACTGCAATTTACACTCCCTGATTTGCAAAGAAAAGTTCAATTTACAACCAAAAAAGATATAGATTCCAATTCCCTTCCCCCTCTGCAGTGTTACATGAATAGAAACCTATGAGTTAAATTAGCTTTATAAAGGTCAAAAAGAGTCTTTATAAGCACAATGCATTATTATCACTAATGCTGAATTTTTCAAGTTCAGACAAGCTTATGTTCAATTTTCAATTTTACACAGTGAAAGGGGCGGATGAGAAAATTTCACTCAGAGGGAGAGGGGGGTGATAATGGGCTACCATACACCCCCCCCAAAACTGCCTATTATTACAATGTTTATTGTATACAAACAAACCCACAGACAAGCAGTGACGTATTCAGGAATTGGTCCAAGGGGGGTATTAATAATAATTTCTGTATGAGGGGGGGCTTAGCACGAGTTGGAGCCCAAAACCCCCTGGAAAATCATAGATTTCCCTAAACCTTTTTTGTGCAACTCTCTTGTATGGTTTTTTTTCAATATTTAAAAAAATAATTTTTTTTTTGGTATTCCAATGGCTCAAAAAAATCCGCGAACCTTTTTTTTCTCTCAAAATCAAATATACAAATATACTTTACCAAGTTTCCTTTAAACAAATATATAAATATACCAGGTTTCCTTTATACAAATATATAAATATACTTTACCAGGTTTCCTTTATACAAATATATATAAACATTTACTTTACCAGGTTTCCTTTATACAAATATATAAATATACTTTACCAAGTTTCCTTTAAACAAATATATAAATAAACTTTACCGGGTTTCCTTTAAACAAATATATAAATATACTTTACCAAGTTTCCTTTAAACAAATATATAAATATACTTTACCAGGTTTCCTTTATACAAATATATATATACATTTACTTTACCAGGTTTCCTTTATACAAATATATATACATATACAAATATACTTTATCACGTTTCCTTTATACAAATATATAAATATACTTTACCAGGTTTCCCTTATGCGAATATATATAAACATATACTTCCCCAGGTCTCCTTTATACAAATATATATAAACATTTACTTTAACAAGTTTCCTTTATATAAATAAATAAATATACTTTATAACAGGTTTTCTTTATAAATATCAGGGGCGGATACAGGATTTAAGTGAGGGGGGGGGGAGGGGGTGCTAGATTTATTTCGGAACAAAAACATCTAGATTTAAGAACAAAATCTTTTTAAGATAGATATTTTTCCCGTTTTGAACTAGGTTTTTTCCCCCTTAAGTGCTATTGAGGAGCTATTCTTCAATCTCAGGGGGGGTGGGTCCTGCCCCCCCCTCTGTGTCTGCCCCTGATAAATATATATGAAATATATACATTACCAGGTTTCCTTTATACAAATATATAAATATACTTAACTAGGTTTCCTTTATACAAATATATATAAACATATACTTTACCAGGTTACCTTTATACTAATATAAATAAATATATACATTACCAGGTTTCCTTTATACAAATATACATAAATTTACTTTACCAGGTTTCCTTTATACAAATATATATAAATAAAATATTAAATGTATACTTTACCAGGTTTTCTTTGTACAAATATACATAAATTTACTTTACCAGGTTTCCTTTGTACAAATATACATAAATTTACTTTACCAGGTTTCCTTTGTACAAATATACATAAACATATACTTTACCAGGTTTCCTTTATACAAATATACATAAATTTACTTTACCAGGTTTCCTTTATACAAATATACATAAATTTACTTTACCAGGTTTCCTCTATACAAATATGTATAAATAAAATATTAAATGTAATTACCAGACGTCCTTATATAAATATATTTTACAAAAATAGGAAAGGGGTAGGGTTGGGGACAGAAGGAGGGTTATCGGGAAGGATTGTTTTTGAGAGAGAAGAGAAGATGATAAGTAAGGAAAAGTAACGTAAAGAACGAATGAGTAACAGGAGAGGAAGGGTATAATGAGTATAATTCGTAAAAAGTAAAGGAAAAAGAGAGTAAGCAAAGAATGTTTGAGATTTTAGGATGTGTTATGTAGTTTTAGAGAGGGGAAAATGAGAATGAGATGGTGGACTGAGGAGTTGTAAAATATTGAGGGGAAAGGGGGGGAGGTGAGGGAGAAGGGGGATGAGGAGAGGGGGAGAAACTTGAACTAGACAGGTCAATAACTTGCAATAGACAGTGCAGGCCGAGACACAGCTGGGTTTTGCAGCTGTTTTTGCGAGGCCAAACTAGGGTTCGCAGCTGCTAAACTGCGCAATTAAGCTTGCAACTCTGAGATCTCAGACATCACGAGTAGAGTTATAGTCAGAATATAGAAGGGAGGCTGGATTAAAGGACGGGGTTGGGGGGTTTGCGTTGGGAATTGAGTCTTAGTCGTCTTAGTCTAATCCCTATATCTTTGCACCTGATGGTGTAAGCGATCAACTTTGACCTCTGGAAGATCAAATCATCTTATTTTTAAATGATCTAAGGTTATACACTTTCAGATTGCAATAATTGGGGGGGGGGAAGGCAAGCCAAACCCGTAGCACTTCCTAGCCACAATTTACTCACAAACATATAGACTTGCAGCAAAGCCCATCACCCGTAGCGCTTTTTAGCCTCACCCAAATTACTTCCGGCAAAATGTCTTACTTTTTAATGCCTAATTTCATCCATAATGACTAATAAACTCCCCTTTGGCAACGTCAGTCGACGATAATTGATACAAAATAGATTATTATTACTTTAATACCAGAATTTGATCGCACTTAGATGAATTTAACCCTTATTTCCGATTTCAGATAATCTTAAAGCGAATCCTATACAAACTGAAAACTGCATTGTTTCTTGCAAAGAATGAACTTATCCTCAATTTCAAAAACATGTGTAAAGACGATTAATTGTGGTTAATGAGGTAATTGCAAAAACTTTCTTACCAAGAAAGTTCACTGTCCTCCAATCAGTGCAAATAAAATTTACATTAAATTTGAATGCATTTTCAGGAAGATAGTGCCTTAGTTTCAGAACGTAATAAACCCCCGCGAGAATATTTTGTTGTAAAAGTAAATAGTACTTATATTAAGGCATATAGAACTATGAAAATATATGCTGGCCCCCTATTGGCCAGTGGTTGGCCAGCGGTCTTCTGTTCCGATTAAAGTTTTTACAACTTTTGGCCTAAGGAGCTAGAATGTTTACTTGTATTACCAAAAAAAATATGATAATGTGTATAGGTTATAATAGATGCCATGACGTATTGTCGGAGAAACCGTGGAAAACTGTTATTGGTCAAGAAGTTTTCAAATTATGGGGAAAACCTAGGAAATCAATTTTTGGATGCTGATCTATGTAATTGTTGGCGAAATCGTGTGAAACTGTTCCTATTGGTCAAGAAGTTGTCAATTTTTGGATGCTGATCTATGTAATTGTAGGCGAAATCGTGTGAAACTGTTCCTATTGGTCAAGAAGTTGTCACTTTATAGATGCTAATCTATAAATAAATTAATCCGTGCTAATGAAATCAGTTAATTATCATTTATCATCATGCCGATGGACAGGGAAAAAAGAGAGATTTCCAAGAAACTTATGGCAAAAAAGATTTCAGGCTGGACTTCTTGCTTCCCCTGTTATGGGGAGCAAGAAGTCCACCCTGTTTTTCAATTTAGAGATTCATGAATTCCTGGGAAGGAGAAAGGGGCTTGATTAAGTATTTTTAGATATTTTCACTATCAGTTCTGCCACTTATTATGATATTGCTTTAATACTGTAGTACAACTATTAAATTAATAGTAAATTGTGTGATGTGCCATATTAAAAAAAAAATTTCATTTAAAGTCATGATTTTTTAATGAAAGACATTTCAATTGTCAGTGTCTAAGTACAATGTACATATTTGATTTATGTTTGAATAATATGAAGATAAATATATTTGTAAATTGTAAATTAATTAATATTGTGATTTATATTAACCAATTAGATTTCTTTTTTATTTCATATCAGAATATCCGATTGGTAACGTTAGTTTTTTTCATTGTTCATTTTTCTTGCCCCCCCCCCCTAAAAATGTTTAGCGGGGGCCCGAAATTTTTCCATCTTGCCCCCCTCTAACAAAATGTCTGGTTGCGCGCCTGACAATTTGTCCATTTTAATTTATGATATTTCTCAAATTCTTTCTTGTACCTTAATTTTATTTACAATATTTTTTCGCGGGGTTTCATTAAAAATCCATTTCAGTCTCACGGAGCAAGATGATTGACGTAGAGTTTTATTAAAGCTTTAAATAATACGTCTCCAGTGTAATC